TATTTTTAATACAATAATGGAAATTTTTGGGTTTTATGGGATAGAAGATAAAGTTTTAACAATTACTTTTGATAATGCGTCAGCTAATACAGCTGCAATTAATCTGTTTAAACGTAGTTTGAAACTAGCATTTGGAGGAGAAATTTTTCATCAACAGTGTGCATGTCATATAATTAATTTAGTAGTTCAAGCAGGAATTGAACATATCTCAGCTAATCTTACAAATATTAGAGAATCATTATCCCTCACATCTAGTTCTGGAGCTCGGCTCCAAGAATTCAAACAATATTGCAGGAACAGCCAGATGCGCCCAAGAAAGTTTCCAACTGACGTGAGACATAGGTGGAATTCAACATATTTAATGTTGAAGGCAGCACTCCCGTATTCACAGCTTATCACGACATACGTAAACAGTAAGAACGATCAAATTTTAATTTTCGATCCTGATTGGCAGATTGCTGAGTATTTTTTTAAATTTTTAGAAGTTTTTTACAATGCTACTGAATTACTTTCTGGAGTTTATTATCCTACTGCACATTTAGCTTTACATCAACTATTTAATATTTCAGAAACATTTTCTTATTATAGGGCTACACAACTTTTTGGAAATATAGTTAACTTAATGGAAAATAAATTTAAAAGTTATTGGTCAGGTTGTCCTATGTTATATGCATTGACAACCATTTTAGATCCTAGGTGCGGAGTAGATGGAACTGAATCATTGATGACTGCTACCGCAGAGAATTTAAAAATAGATATGCAACTAAGTATTACTGACGCTAAGAAAATGTTAGAAAAAGTTTTTAGTTTGTATGAAGCAAAATATAACACAGGTCAAAAAGAACAGGGAACTTCGTCGTCAACTACCAGTTCGGGGCCTAAAGGATCGTTGTGGAGTTTCTTGAAGAAGAAAGAGAAAACGGCAGGATCATCCTCAACACAAGCATCTACGGAACTAGTCAAATATTTTGAAGCAAATTTTGTAATCGATGACGACTAACTAAACATCTTACAGTGGTGGAAGAGCAAGACAGACTGTTTTCCAACACTGTCCATAATAGCTCGTGACATTCTGACAACTCCAGTGTCAACGGTAGCATCAGAGCAAGCTTTTAGCACAAACAACCGAATTCTTGGCGATAAGAGAAGCAGAATGCATCCAGATATCTTAGAGGGACTAATGTACGTTAAAGACTGGGAAGATGCTAGAAGACAAAAACAACAATACACAGATGATTCGATGCAAGAATATTTTTCTAACTTAGAAATAACAGAATCTTCTGGAAGCACTTAGGTTTGTAATTTACTATTCCTAGCTACTGCACTCTTTTTTCCTTCGCTAAGGTTTTGTCCCAATCTCCCCACGGGTTTTACTTAGCAAGGTTTTAACGAGACAGTCATTTATGTGTACTCATATTACGTCAATTCAATAAATTCACATCTTTTAGGGCATTTGATATTTTTTTTAATTAAAATTTAAAAAAAAATACAAGGGCCGGGGCCTGCCCGTGAAGGGTCTGGGCCTAGGCCCGGCCCTGGCCCTTATTGTAAAACCCAAAATTTGAAATGGGGTTAATTTGTAATTTTTAAAGACTTAAGTGTGAAAATTTTAAAAATATGGGCCAAAATGTAATTTTCAAGAAATGTGGGGATCAGAAACGGATAATTGGACACTCAGTGAGTCCAAACTAGTATTAATGCCACTTGGGCGTGTTCCACCTCATCAGAAAAATTCAAAACACAAAAACCCACTTTCTCTCTCTTCTTTCTCTCTCCTTCCACGCGTATGGCCGTACACATCCGGGAAAGATTCCGGCGTTCAT